ATGAAAATTAGTGGTCTGTCTGTCCTGCAAAGGACATTACAGGTCCCTGAGGGGAGGTAGGCGGGGGCTCTGAAAGTGGTCGTCTCGACTGAGGTTTCTACTCCGTGCCTTGGTGAGCTGCACGAAGGGCTGGCTGGCAAGATGTCAGTGATGCTTTGTGTGTATCATCCAAAGCACTTTCTGATCTATCAGGATGAAGGGTTCTGGAGAAATGTTAAATAGTATTATTAGTGTAAAACAAACATACTTCAATATTTCTGACCGTAAAGTGGATCCAGATGCTTTCTTATGGCTGCTGGATCTGCTTTGGTTTTTCCATGGCTCAGTGTGGCTGTCTGCATTTGTTCAACTGAGATAGGATGTGACAGAGCTTGTCACAGCATGCTCTTGTCAAGTCTTTAAACCTTTATATTTATACATGCATACGCTCAAATATATATATATGTATATAAGAATGAAAAAATTACTGTCTTGGTCTAAGACACCATTTCCGAGTCTGACACTTCGCATGCTCGCCAAGGAACTTGGAATAAACTCAGTGAGTTTATCAGCTTTTATGATCACAGCAGTCAGTTCAGCTGTGTAGGGGAGAAATGGGATTTGGATGAATAACTCAAAATAGGCTCCAAAGGAAGTGAACGTGTCCCTCTCTTTATAGCTCTGATACAAAAAGGGTATTAAACACCCCTTGATATCAGCCACCAGTTGCATTTTTCAACCTGTGGTTGAGCTTTGCAAGAGGTAACTTTCTGGCTGTGTTTCAAGTGTAAAACAATTTCCCCCCGGTTTTAAGCATTATTAACATTTTCATGGTTTCTCTCCTACAGAGAAGAACAAGTCTTCCCCACTGCTTAAGGGTTACGTTTTATATGGGCTGGGGTTTTACCAGCTCTGGTACCAGGGTGAGATCAAAGTAGCAGGAGTAGCTGGGTGGTCCTTCCTTCTGAGCATGCCAATGGGAAATGTTTCCAAGCCAGTATTTCAGTGATTTTTTTTTTTTAGATCCTGATTGGAGAGATGATGCCATAGTGTCTGAGGGGACTCCCAGCTGTGCCATGGAGACTTGATATTACCTTGCAAAGACTGGCAAATACAGAAAGTGTGGATGAGTGTTTTGCTGGTAAAATCTTCTGCTTTGATAACTGATACTAATAGATATATGAGGAACTGGTAAAATCTTGTGCATTCTTAAAGTCAGTGATAATAGAATTTGTTATGTGTTGTGATTTGTTGGCAGTTGGAGTAGCTGCCCAAGGTTTCTTATCTGGTGTGTGAATCCAAGGCTTTCACCTAACCCAACTCCATATCCTGCAAACCAAAGTGGGAAATAGTGTGTTTTAGAGTCTTAGTTTTCAATAAATTTGGATCAGTCAGAGCTGAATTAGGAATATATTTGCTCTGTGCACCTTCTCCATCCAAGTTGAAGTCTGTGTTCAAACTAAAAGGCAGCTGGGAGGTTGGAGCTGATTCCCCACATCTGTGCCGAGAGCTGCCGTGTGTGCTCATCATCTCTGATCCTGCCCTGCCTAAGACACTGTTGGTGTATTGATTGCTAAAATCTCTGTGAGTGCTCTACAGGGACCAAATCTAAAAAAAGACTTGTCTGCATTACACACACAAACCCCTTGAGAAGGGGGATTTGGGGTCTAGTCTGTCTTCTTGCAATTTTCTGCAGTCCAGAGAGTGTATAATTACATTTTATTGAATCCATCCTCCCCCTCCTTTCTGGCATGGGATACTCCTGGACTAATAGAAAGCAATTAAAAACCTGAAGGTTCTCGCTCATTTAATACAACCTTACCTGTCTTTTGTCCAGTGTTGAGAGCTTGCTGTGCTTCCCTGGGGCTTTTTGTCTTGTTACTTAAACAGGAAAGAAATGGAAAAGGATAATGAAGCCAGCTAAGGAGGTGGCATGTACTTAGCAGAACTGTGGCTCAGGCTCCTTGTTTATCAGTCCTGTCTTGGGAGGGCAATACAATAAATGACCACAGATTCATGGTATATTATTTTCCTATCTTGTCTCCTATCTCATCGTATGAGTTTAGTATTGTATCAGTGCTGGTTTTCCTGGTCTTTGGTTCAAACACTTGAGATAATGATGCTACTTACTGCATCATTGGTCCCAGCAGGACTTACCCTGTCCGGAAATACCTGACATGATCTGGTGTATGCAATGACTTGCTGCCATGCAAAGGTAATTGCTCACTGACCCAGAGAAGACTTTTTTTTTTTTTTTTTCATGGAAACTTACTGTGTGCTTTGAACTGCTGAAAAGTACTCAAGAAGACATAAACCCATGAGTTACTACAGGCTGCATGCCTGGAACATGCAGGCCATCTCAACATATGGAGTAAATCAGCACGGCTCCTCTGACTTCAGCGCAGCTGCGTCTATTTCTGCTTGCTATAACCCTGCTCCAGACTGGAGGGATAGTTTTGTGTGAAGAGTGGATAGGAAAAAACCTTCCTTTCCTATTCCCTTTTCATAGCTTTACACTTTATAACTGGAATAAATGTACCACAAGTGGAGGTGATACAGTACATTACTTTTGCCTCTATAGAAATACTTTATTTGGACATATGCTAAGTTGCCTCTTGTTCCCCTTACTTCCGAAATCAAGTAGTTGATTAATGCATGCACTTGGTTACTGGCAGTAAAAAATATGTCAGTGGTTAGTTCAGAGATTGGTGTTTCAAAAACCCCACATACGTGCACCTGCACAGAAACAAGTCAGGCAGACCTGACTCTGCATAAGGACAGGGTGGGCAGCACCCATGTAAGCCACAGGACTGTGGGAAGAGGAGCTGCTTTCCTGTTTCCATGTGCCAGGAGAAGCAGTGCTATCAGGCTTATGTGTGATGGATCAGAGTGCAGTGGTATTGCTGCAAGCAAAAGTCATGAATTTTAATCAACTTTACTGGCTGCCTTGAAATTTGAGTTGAAAGATAAATGTGAAAAACAGGCAGCTCATATTGTTTCTGGAACAGAAGTGCCCCTTTTCTGGTGATTAAAAGAATATTTCTTTTAACTTGATAATCAAAAATACTTCCATCTTAGTTCTGGATTTGTTTTTTTGGCTAACCCTTTAGGTCCTGCTAGCCTCGTGTGTCTCCTGGAGCCAAGTGTCACCTCATGGCCACCCAGACAGCTGACCTTGGCTGCCAAGACTTCTGAACCAGAGGGGCTGTCTGCTTTCAGCCATTTTGAAAAAAGGTGGTTTTAGGGCTTTATTTAAATAGTCTTAATGTCTGGGAAAAAAAAATTAAAAAAGAAAGAATTGCCTGGTGAAAACAGAATGGGCTGTCCAGGGAGCTGGAGTTCGGTTTAAATTCATTGCGGAACTTCGGCATGTACTTGTCCTTCCCTTCTGTTGCTCCAGGGCTGCTTTTAAGGTTATTTAGTTGCAGTATTCGTTTGGACATCAGTCTGCTTAATTAAATGTAAGTGATTTGAATGCTGATGTTGTCTGTGGGGGACATCGAAGCTTGGGGGAGAAGTGGAGTGAAAATATCAAGTCTTGTCCCTGGACAGAAACACACACCCATCATTTTATTTCCAGGCACTGCCAGGCTGGTCCAGATTACTTTAGTAGTTGAAAGTGCTTTCCTCACTCCTCCTTGCAGGAGTTTGCTTTAGGGGTTATCTTAGCTGCTTTTCCTGTTTTGCCATTAAGTCACCTCTGTGCAGGATTAAGTTTGCAGCGTTTTATTTGAGGCCAAACAACTTTTAAGAAAGGGAAGAGGAAAATTAGCCTACAAGCAGCAGGGAGGGGAAAATATTGGTGGCAGACTCCTGAGTTGTTCCTCCTCTCTCAAGCACAAGTGCTGTTATTTTCTCTTAGAATCTTCTGTGGTGCAACTCCACACCTAGTTTCTCATCTCGAAAATCTGTAGGTTCAGCAACTGCTCTGTATCAGTGGAGAGTTCATTGCAGCTGCAGCTTATTTGATGCAGAGGCTTATTTGATACACTGGGAAATTTCTGCTGCCTTCAATAGTGAGAAAGGCAATATATTTTGGGGGCCTGAATTACTGTGAAAGGGCACATACAAACCTGCTAAGTACAAATTCCAGCTTGTTTGTACTCTCAGTTGGTTACACCCTTGGCTCAGAACCCAAATATTTCAAGAATTTGGGTTGAGGTATATCCTTTCCCAAAAGAGGCATGAAGTTAGATTCGCCTTTTACATCAATGGGTGCAGTTTCTCTAAGGTCACCAAGGGTTTGATTGAAGCAGAAATGTTAATTCCTTCAAGGCACATGGAGAAACCTCAGGAGGGGAGATGATGCTTTGCTCTGGTGCCTGGGGGCTGCTCCTTGAACAGCTGAGATGACTTGGCCCTTCCTTTGACTGGAATATGCTTGCTATGAAGGAAAGCCACCTGATTTCCTTTTCAGCAGCTGGGATGCCTTGTTGCCATGTTTTGCTGTACTGGGGCCATTGGTGCTATGCCTGCTTACCCCAGTGGCTGAATTTTCATTTTCCCTGAGGCTTTCAAAGCCTTTATGTGTGCTGAAGCAGATTAGTTTTACTAAGGAGGTTTATTTCAGTTGCAAATGCTCTATGGGCTGCTGCACAGATGAAGCCTGCCTGAATTTCAGTTTTTAAAAAAATATTTATTTATTTTAATACTCCACTGGAAACCCTCTCAGATTTGCTTGCTTCACCTTTTAGTGTTGCTCTGGTGCAGGTACGGAGGTCAAGGTGGTAGCAACACGTTTGGTGGCGTTTACCAGCTGTCATACCGCAGCGGGATCAGCTCAGGTGGCTGGTAGGGCTGTTATTATTCCTGATATTATTCTTGGAATTCTCCTCCAGTACTGAAGAAAGGGAGCATTTGCCAATGCTTCGGGGTATGATAACGTGTCCACACATCAGGCAAATCAGCTTCCTGAGGTGGTGCCTGGACATCACGGGGTACGGAATGTTGGGGTGCCAGGATGGGATGTGGGCACTGTGGGGCGAGTAGTTAGTAATCCTTGTGCATCCCTTTCCTTGCAGTTACCTGGCCGAGCAGTGCTGGAATGGCGGCTTCGTCTACCTGATCATGTTGCGCCGCATCAAGCGCAAGGCCCCTCTTCCTCCCTCCAACGGCAACAACAGCAACAGCTGCGACCCCAAGGCCAAGCCCAGCCCTGAGCCTGGCGACAGAGCCACTCAGAATGGGAAAAGGACCAGGAAGTTTGGGGTCATCACCAGGACACCAGGCAGCAAGGACAGCAAGGAGAAGCTGGGCCCGGAGCACGGGAACGGGCACTGCACCCCGATGGAGGTGGAGGTTGCTCAGCCGGAGACCTCTGAGGCAGAAAGCAATGGGGAGGAGCAGCACCAGGGCACTGGGGCACCCTACCGGTGCCGGCTGTCGGATGGTGGCATGCCAGACATTGGGGACCAGTCTGCCCAGGTATGTTTGCATTGTTTTTTCTAGAGAAGGAAGAGCGGCAGGCATGCAAGCGAATTGAGTGGATTTCCCAGGCAATTTCCATAGTTTCAGTGCTCTGTCCTTGGGCTGAGCCTCAAGGGGACAAGACAAGCTGTCAGGGCACCAAATTTTGGGATGTGGTCAAAAGCAGGGGGGCAGGAGGATTGAAGAATTAAATAATAATTGTCGGAAACCTCTGTCATACTCCATCTGTGATGGAGGGAAAGGTCCTCATATCTCTGACCTGTCAGGGTTGGTCTCAGGATTCCTTTTGTTGAGACAAGTGGTGACCCTGTGACACTGGGGCAGGAGATGTCAGTGGAAGATGGTAATTTTGTCCTTTGGGGCTTCATGTTCAGCTCTGCCTGGACTTGATGTCACCTTATAGCTCATGTTAACATTGGAATTGAAGCTTCCCTTTTTGATGCACCAGACCACGTTGCATGTATTTGTGATATGAAACTTGTTTGACCAGTGTTTGGGAACCACATGGAAGTAATTGCGGATTTTTTTCAGAGTTGATGAGATAGACGATTTGTTAATGTTTGAGATGACAGTGGGGTTGGGGCTTTCATTGCTTCTCTCTTTGTCCTAATGGAGATCTTGGGGTTTGTTGCCTGCCTAGAATTGCAGCATTGCCGGATAAAGAAAAATAACCCAAGCCTTGATCGGGTTTCAGTATGCATCTATCACCAGAAGCACCGTCTGCCAATCTTTCCAGAGGCACTAATAGTATAAACATATGAACGTTGCTTTGTTGGGCTTGGGGCTGGTTGCAGCAGCTGGTTTTGGTTTTAAGACTTCAAAGCTGGTAACAAAGCAGTATGAGTGGACATCTCATCACTAAATTCTGTTGAGAAAAGCATGGGTTTAAATGTGTCCTCTGAATTAGTGCTCCTCAGCACTACTGCAGGGTGGTGGTGATGGTGGTTGTGAATTTAGAGTAATTTAATTTAAAGTACGTTGTAGGAGCTAAAAGCAGTTAAAAAAACCTCTGGTTTTAAAGAGCCGTAATTGCAAAAACTTGCTCTTCCCATCAGTGAGGCACTTTGGATTTTATGGTGCAACAGGGTAGGGTGTTTGTGTACTGTTCTTGCAAGCCTTGTAATCGTAGTCTTTCTAAAAGAAAACATGAAAAGCTTAAAAATAAATAAATGAATCGTTTGGTATTTTGAAAGCTCTGGTCCATATAAAAACTTCTTGAATCTGTTCTGAAGATGTCTAATTAGACACATGTTATAAATGAAGATGATCAGACTTGTTTTTTTGAAGTGGAAAGCCAAAAATGTATGTATGTAAAAAAAAAAAAAAAGAAACTCTTGATCCAGAGCCATCTCATGCTAGTGTTACCTTGATGTTTTGAGTCATTTTGGTCTGAGAAGTAAATTGTTAAATTCAGAACATATATGTATCAATGTGAGCCATAAATACATTTTGAATGCCAAGCACATATACAAGATGGCTTTGTAAAACGTAACAACATAGTTGAGGCACTGGAAAAATTTAAAAGCTATAATCTGTTCAGCTGCGGTGTATTGGTTATGGAGCCTGTTGGGAGGTGCAGTCGTTTAGTAAAATTGCTTCTCTCTTTTTTTTAATTCCCTCTCCTCCCCCCTTAATATTTTGCTTAGAAATATGACCTCAGTCTGTGTCAGTACTAATTACATTTTCCTGACATCTGAATGAGGAGAAATGTGAATAGCTGGAGCCTGAATAGCATGTCTTGATCATCCTTTGCTTTTTAAAGGGGGCCTTATAGAATCCTATCACTTTAGCATCTATGGGGTTACTGCTATCAGAGTAATGAGTGGCTTAAATCAGTTTCTTAATAAGTATTCAATAGGGACAATGAATAAAATTTTCAAAATTATTTGTATCCCATTTAAAAGAAAAAAAAAAAGGCTAGGAATAAAGACACTTGGGAGCCTCATATCTCACTTCCAACTCTATTTTCAAAGCGTGACCTGGCACTCAGGCATGTGAGATCCAGTCGTGTCAGGAGCCTTTTGAAAACGGCATCCAGGATGTCGTGTCAGAAGTTGCAGCCTCCTTCCAGGCTTCAAAGCGTGAGCCAAACCTCTCATAGCCGCAGGATGAGTTATCTCCTCCCGTGCGGGGACAGGGTGCATTGGCAGGGCACCCTCTCCATGGGGAAAGCAGCTCCGTCCCCACTGCCCGCCCCACGCTCGCCATCTCCTCCGCACGTTGACTAATTGAATATCCAGGGCTGTCAGCCCCGCGCCTTTGGGGAGCACTATATCCACTTGGAGGGGAGGAGAGCCAGCCTGTGGCGGACTGGAGGTCGGCTGCAGGTGGGAGGAAAGGTTTCAAGAAGCTGCTCAGCGACCAGTGTGGATGTGGGAGGACCTGTCTGGTCCTTCCCACTGCTCCTTTTCGCTTTCCCACTGCAGGAGGCAGATGGGAGCATTACTGAAAAGGAATAATCGAGTCCAGGAAAATACCTTTTTTCCTACCTGTAGAAAGTTACTATGCAGTTGTTGTAACCAAAATGGGGGCAAAGAGGTTGGGTTGAATCTGCATGTCTTCAGCCACTGCTTTGCTGATCCCAGCAGCTAGCTCATGGCCAGTGCCTAGGGGATATTGCGCTGGGAGTGCTTTTGAGGCATCCATAATGTCATTTCAGTGCCCTTCACTTTCAGGGTACCTCTCCCACAAGTGAAAACTCCTCCCACAAGTGTGGGGTTATTCTTCCATTTCCTCCATATGTGCTGCTCACAGCATCAGTGCTGGATTGTGAAATGACAGGCAAGATGAATACTGTTTGTCAAGTGAGCCTGCCGGGAGATTCCTGTGTTACTGGTTTGTGTGCATGTGCCAGTCCCCTTCTTCAGGCTTGCTTTCATCTCTCAGATCTTGATCTGTCTCTCCTGTGCACTTGGCATTGCTATCACTGTGTATAAACAAATCTGCCAGGCTGTTTGCTGGTATGTAACCTTCAGTTAATACTGTACCTGTCAATTAGCAGGCAGCATGTAATGTTTACAGGTGGTTAACTTATGCTGAAATATTTTTAGGATGAACTTAAATGGCTTTCAAAAATGTGGGGATTCAAAGCAGCAAAGCTGTATCTGCTTGGCAGGAAGATCTCTAAAGTCTGGAAACCAGACCTTGGAGAGGACTCAGGCTGGCAGCAGTGGGAGTCGGGACAGTGATTTAAGATCAGGCATTCTCTGAGCTGGAGTAATGATACCTCACATCCTGGGAAGATTGGGGAGCTTAAACACAGAAATCAAAGTTCACTTCTTTTATTCAGTGGCCTGAGACATGGCGTAGTTTTGCAGGCTGATAATTATACAGGCACAGATGGAAGAGGAATATGGGAAGGGACTACTGGAGTTGACTAAAAAATGATAAATAAAAGGAAACTCTGTTTTCCTCACAATAGAGCAGTCCTGTGGTTTCGCTGTGTATAGTGGTAGGACAGAATCCCTCAGTTTTGTTCTCATTTCTCTATCATGGTGTTTTTGGAAGATCTGTGGACTACTTCTGTTGCTGTTCAGCCCAGAGGTGGCCAGATACAGCTGGCATGGACAGGGATCAGAAGTAGGACTGAGGTTTGCAAGAACCAGACTTAGCAGTGTGAAGGGCAGGAGTCTGGTTGTCGAAGGGGACTTGAACTGATCCAGCTCTGGCTGACACAATGAGAGGCTCTCATTGATGAAGCCAGGAACAGCTTGGCTGAAGATGAGTTGTACCAGAGCAGATTGGCCCCCTTGGCTTCCTCCAGCCACCGCAGGATGCTTGGAGAAAGTCCTTGAAACATCAACCGTTAAAAGCAAAAACAAGACATCCCCAGAATGACCTTGAATCCTTTTGCTTCTTCAAAAGCATCCAAATTAGTAAAGGCTTGAAATCCAGATGCAGATTTACCGGTGACCATTGTAAAGGAGATTGGGCAGGACAAAAGTGCTTTAATGTTGAAGGGAGGCAGTTGAGAGGGGCTGTTTATTTGGGTGTTTCTCCTTTGGCAGGAATATGTGGCGTGGGAGAAGTTCAGGGTGTGCACCAGGTGTCCTGGCTGCTGGTAGCACCGTGGTGTGGGGCTGTGGTAGGATGCCTCTCCAAGACAGAAACAAGGCAGCATCTGGTGGTCCTGCAAGCTGTACCTGATGCTTTCCTGAAGTCAATGTCCATTAACAAAAGAAGGGAGGGGGAAGGGCAGGAGAATGTTAAAACTTTGCCTCCCAGAGGCTTTTGGGGAGATCTGGGCTAGAGGAGTGCTTCAAGGTCTTGCCTCCCTGTTGTTAACCTCATTACTCTGCAGTGTGTCGCAGCCACCAGAGCAGTTTGCCAAGCCAGCTTTGCTCTTACAGCCCATCTGAGCCCAGTTTGCATAGACCACAGCACTCTCCAGACTCATCAGTGTGTACACAGGTGCACACAGACGTGCATGTGAGCAGGAGTCCACCCAGGTCTTTGCCAGCCAGCACTTGCCTTTGTATTGCTCCAACTGCATGGTGCTTGCTCTCTTTTCATCAGCGGCTCTCTTCATTCCTCGAGCCCATTATTGCTTCCTTATTGAGATGGCTTGTCTCGCAAGGGGATGAATGCTTTTGAATTGCATTTTACTTTGCAGCTAGGAAAGGCTGACAGCCTTTCTGTAGCAGTACTTGCCAATTAGTGTTGGTAAATGCCAGCCTTACCTTGAGTTTTGGTTAATGGAAAATGTTCCTTATCTTGCCAAGCAGAAGAGGAAGGCTAATAGGACATTACAAGAATCAGAACATGAGTCTTGAAATAGTACAATGGCTTTAAGCATTTTACTATTTAGTTAAACTTGATGGGAAAAAAAATTGTCATCCTTTCGCTGTACCAAAATGAAAAACTTGATGTAAACAGGGTACTCCAGTGAAGCTACTGAAGCTAAGGTTGCTTTACATCAATTTTTTTTGGCAACCTAAGCAGTAATTACTGTTTCATCAAGGCTTTTATTGGACTCTTATATGACACATGTTTTAGAC